GAATTGGCTAAGCCGCTGGGACCGCCTGGGGCGAGTTCAGAAATAACACACCGGGTGTGAGTGCGATTTTATGGGTGTGACTGAAATGACAATTCTTAGGCGACAACTTTCGTATGAATTTCTGAACGCTTGGTGTGACCAATCGAGCATCTCCTCAAAAATTTCACAAAATCTATTAGGATTACTTTTTTTTGTTGTTCATTTTTTTAATTTGAAGGAAAAACTTGAATTCTTATTTGTGTTTTGTTTATGTTTGGTGGGATTATTGAGATTATGGGAGGAATGGTTGACATTGTTGACATAAAGACACAATCACACCGCAGCCACACCAAAAAATTATGGTGTGACCGGTGCGACACCTGGAGCGCGCCCAAAGTACTTTCTGAACGGCGCACTCGGTGTGCCTATAGCATTTATGAACGGCTAGTGCGTCGCACCGGTGTCACAATCACACTGAGTGTGTCATTCCTGAACTCGCCCCTGAATGTACCCAATATCTCTTACCTAGGGCAATCCAATCAAAATGGCGGCCGATGCCAGGTGACAAGAATGAAATTGGCGCCATAAATTTGATTCAAACAACTGTGGCATTTTTTTATCAAATCATTATTTTTTGTGTATTTTGTGTTTCAAGGTGATTTTTTAGTGCTCGTAAGATGGAGAGTTTTTATTTTAAGAAGTTATTAGTGGAAACCCCGGATGCTGGCAAAAGACGATTTCTTTATGATAAACCTTTTCCTACTAAATAATTAGGTAAATACTATCCAGGATTTGTTTCCTGTTTAATTTTTTCTTGACCAAAATCTTGAATCCTGATATTTATTTTATTTGTCTGCTTTGGCATCGACACAAGTTGAGGTGGAGGATAGTAAACGGCTTGGATCCATACACCGTTTATGTGGAGAGACTTTTTGGTTTTTTAATATTGACGAGTTCTAAGTTCTACACCAAAAATGGTATACAAAATATTGTGAAGAACATAAAATGAATAAACTAAACTAAAATAAACTATGGATTTCGTCAGATTTTTTCTCTTTTGCTACAATCCATGAAGCTCTACAAAGTACAGACAAATCGTTTTTCTCCGTTAAAAACCTGTGTTTTGTCTCTGCAGGAACGGCATGAAACGAGACTTTTGCGATTAGAACGGTACTACAACAATACATCACGTACGCATTTTCCAAAAAATCAACACTTTACTACTTTTACAGACTTCCAGGTATAGTCTACAGATGGTCAGCTGGAAAGCGGCTATTATTGTATTGATCTGGATTCGATTAAGTACTTAATTTCTTGCATTAAATATTTGAAAGATTTTTTATGAAAATTGAAAAATAATTTTAAATATTATTTACAACAATTTGAACCGAATAAATACAATCTTGTACTAGTCTTGTACTCAAGCGGTTCCTGACACGTGCTCCCTGACTAAATGCAGGCCGACTGATAATATGAACATACTTTTTTGTTTGAATCTCGAATATCTCTGGCGAATACTATACACAAATCAAAAATAGCAATAAAACAAAATTTATATGGCATTGGCCTCCATTTTGAATTTCTTTTTGACAGGTCGTTGGATTGCCCTATTATATCCGAACTCTCATGAAAAGGACTCTTCATCTCAAAATACGAAAATTATCCTTCTCGCTTCTCGAGTACTAGAAAATCGCTTTAGAACATCAAAAAAAAAAGTTTTATGATAACAAAACATCACAGTTGTGTGAAGGTAAATAATAGTTGTATTCCTTTCAATCAAGAGTTTAAAACACTAGAGCTACTCGCTCCGGTCTAGTCGACTCCGATTTGAAAGGAACAGATGCGCTGGCTTTCATTTCATGCATTTAAATGGTTTGATTCGGGCTTGAGCACTTAGGTGCAACAAACACTTTTCGAAAGGAATAAGCGCCCAACGCCCTCTGGAGCTGTTCCAGAGCTCCTCCTAGGTGTGAAAGAAATACAACTAATTCCTCATTCTCACTTGCGCGAAATCCGCTCTTTTTTTGACATTGCTTCGACAATTTGACGTTTTAAGCCTAGTACTCATAACTGCGAAATTCGTACTTTTTTGACATTGCTTTGACAATTTGACGTTTTATGCGTGTACCAAACGTCAAATTGTCGAAGCAATAACCCTTTTCACGTGGCTCCGGTTTAACAAACCACAACATACCGCTCAAATTCGAGTGGTAGGTATCCATCACGTCACTTTGTAACCGGGTTAGAAAACGGTATGTCATTTCTCTAACCGTTTTGTAACCCGGTTAGTTAAACCGGAGCCACGTGAAAAGAACTAATGGGTACATGGCGGTCCCAGCGGCTTAGCTCAGCCTCTCAGCAGGAACTTTATTCTCGAAATCAAGGAACAGCGTTCTCATTGGAACGAAGATTCTGTCTTTGTCGTCTGGCATAACATTGACACTGACAGAGTAATCGTTCTTATGAGAACGCTGTTCCTTGGTTTCGAGAATAAACTTCCTGCTGAGAGGCTGAGCTAAGCCGCTGGGACCGCCTCTGAATGTACCCAATGTCAAAAAAAGCGAATTTCGCAGTTATGAGTACTAGGCTTTATGCGTGTATCAAACGTTAAATTGTCGAAGCATTGTCAAAAAAGCGAAATTCGCTTATTTTTTGACATTGCTTCGACAAGTTGATGTTTTATGCGTGTATCAAACGTCAAATTTTCAAAGCAATGTCAAAAAAGAGCGATTTTCGCGCAAGTGAGAATAGCTTTATGCCTCATTATCACTTGCGCGAAATTAGATCTTTTTTTGACATTGCTTCGACAATTTGACGTTTTATGCATGTATCAAACGTCAAATTGCCAAAGCAATGTCAAAAAGAGCGAATTTCACGCAAGTGAGATGAGAATTAAGCCTTATGCCTCATCGCTTGAGTAGGATAATTTTTGTAGTTTTTGATGAGGAGCCTTATCTTAAGAAGTTATAGTGCAAAACTCGGAAGTTGGCAAAATGTATGCTAAAATCTTAGCTAAAATCCTAGGTAACAGTTTAGTGAAGATTCGTGGTTCGTCAAAGAAAATTTATTATTTATTTTCCCATAAAAATAAATTCAATGCTAAAATACATCTTAAATAACTATTCAGGAATAAAACTGACTTTGTAAGTAGGTAAGCGAAAAATGGAACAACTGATAAAAAAAAAATTTAATCAAAATATTTGGGTAGTTTTGTTTTTTTTGCGGACGACGATATAAAGAAGCATAATAAGCCCTAAAACAAATCCTTTTTCTACGTTAAAAACCTGTGTTTTTTCTTTTCAGGAACGACCATAAAACGAGACTATCAAAATAGGAACGGTTTCCACACCCAACTACAATACATTTCGCAGGCATTTTCTAAGAAATACCTAGGTACTTTACACAATTCCAAAACCGCAATTTAGAGCAAAAGAACAGAAAATAAATCAATAAAACTTAGTTCATAAACAAACACACATCACAGATGTCAGATGTTTGTCCATTGCCGCCATATTGAATGTATTTTTGACAGGTCGCTGGATTGCCTTGCCCAGGTGCCAGTGGTAGAGGTGGAGAACTATCGATGGCGCTATCGATAACTATCGATAGTATTGACTATAGAAATATATCGATAGTTTTGTTTAAGTATCGATAGTTGTCGATAGTTGGCTGTAACGCCCGTTAGTAAGCGAAAATGCAAAACAGAACAGTTTTAACTGGTTTGGGAACCTTTTTTGATTTCCTTGCTTATTGTTCAAGGACAATGGAAAATTTTCTGACTATAAAAAGTAGGTAACCTGAAAGGTCTTAAAAGATTTTCAGTACTGCTGGTGCGTGGTGCCATTACAGGGTTGCCAGATGGTTATAACTAATTTCCCCCAAAGGATTTCAAAAATACCCCAAAAATCACTGTTTGTCAACTAAAATCCCCCAAATAAATATAGATTTATTCTCGACTCATACTTGCAAAAAAAAAAGACAAATTCGTTGAATATTTTAAAATAAGCAGCCTTACTTTAGCCTGTTTCTTTTACTGTAATAATATTAAGCTGTATTAAAATTTAGAATACAGCAACTTAGAGCACTAAGCACTATAACCGCAAAGAAATGCAAAACGCAAAATAAAAAATAAACAATGCAAGCAACGTCGGTCGTTGGGGATTCCCCCGATTCGATTTGTCAAGTCAATTGTCATTTGTCATTACAAATTAAAATAGATCTAGAACTGAGCGTTTGCGTTCATCCCGAGAAGAAGCAAACTGTATCTTTTTTATTGGTACTTGATTGAAAAAATAGATGGCGCAGTTGTTTTAATACATTTTTTACTTTAGTTTTATTCATTGAAATATACCCGATTTCCCCCAATAGCGAAAATTCTTACAATTCTTACCCCCAAAAAATCCCCCAGAAAAAACTATCCCCCAGATTTTCCCCCATCTACTTGAAAATCCCCCAAATTTGGGGGAAAATCCCCCAATCTGGTAACACTGTGCCATTATTCCTGACAAATGATCTTGTCTGAAAGCGTTTTGTGCTAAAAGCCAAAAATATTGAATTGTTGAAATGATTATGATAATGATTTTGTACAAAAATTCTAGGATTTTGGAATGAGATACATATTTTTAGTTTTAGAAAGAAATTCTGCAAATGAGATATCAGAGGCGGAATTCTGTAACGGATAGAGATCGTTATCCCTATCGCTATGGCACTTGCACTTGCTGTCTTCTTCTCTCTTTTCGAAATCAATAGAGAGGGGACGTAGGTACTTCAATAGAAATAGCGAAAATCATGCGAAAATATCTCTATTCCTTACAGAATTCTACTGCAGATGTTGAAGTTTAATATTTAGCTATTTCCTAGAAACAAAGATTTTTAGTACACAGATATCTTTCCTTTTACCTTATAACTTTTATTTAATTACTATCGAAAACTATCGATATTTATCGATAGTCAAGGTCTCGACTATCGATAACTATCGATAGTCGTGACTATCGATAGTTCTCCACCTCTAGCCAGTGGCCTTGCCATTTGCCATTGCCATTCTAACCTCACTCCTCACTATTTGTTTTCTTTGTTTGATATAAATTCAATACAATTAATTATTATTATCACAAATCAAGTAAATAAATTCATGAATCATGATTGAGGTGACAGCAAAGCTAGTCAGAGGCCACGTCTTTTTGTCAGGCGAAATTGTGGAGTGTCTTATTTCCTTCAGTCACCCAGTATCACCATCACACAAGGTAAGTTACCCACCAAGTTTAACCCACCCTCAAAAGTGAAGTCATTATAATAAATGAGCTAATTATTTTCGACAGGTTTCCCAAAGCCATACAGATGTTTTTGAAAGCCTCGCCTGGGCTTCAGCCCAAATCCACTGTCAATGCTTCACTGATGCTAAAATCCATAAAAATGAGCAAGAAAAAATCGCTTTGGCTAATACATCACTGAGCACTGTAACTGGAGACAATGCAAAAGTTGAATTTGCCACCAAACCTAAAATATTGTTTTGTGATTTACGCTTATCACCTGGACAAACCAGACTTTTTGTCTACAGAGAAAAAGTCCCAACAGATTCACCACCATCATACCGAGGCCAATTAGTTAAATACTCCTACAAAATTACAATTGGAATGCAAAAAATTAACACTCCAATAAAGCAGATGAAAGTACCAATTAGAGTACTCCCTCTAGCTGAAGCAGTATTAAGTGAAATCCTTTGCAATGAAACAACAGAAGAACTAACTCCAACCAACCCTTTTTTAGAAATAAGACAAAAAGAGAAACCTTTGGACTTAGCCTTGGAAAGCCTTCAAAATATTACTGCAAGAAGAAACCCAAACTTCTACATGATTTCCAATATGTGGGGCAAAGTGGCCAGGTTTTGCTTGTTTAAACCAGCTTACAAACTTGGCGAAGACATTATTGGCACATTTGATTTCACAGTAGCCACAGTTAAATGCATGCAAGTGTCTGTTTCTCTACAATGCGAAGAAGAAACCATTGTTGAGCCTAAACACATTAGGATAATCACTTTCAGCAAACACCATGAAGTTTGCTTGGGCTATAAGTACACTCAATTAATTTTACCGATACCATTACATGTAACACCAGCATTTGCCACTGATTTGGTATTATTAAAATGGAGATTACACTTCGAATTTGTTACGACCAATCATAAAGGCGTCAATTTTTTAGAGAATGATAACTGGCAAGCCCCTGCAGACGTTCCTATTGAAACTATGGTGTGGAGTTTGCCTATAAGATTGTATTCAACTACCCCTATCCAAGTGGCACAGGGGGTACAAGGAAATTTTGTACATAGAGTTGTGATAAGATAATTTATATTTATTATACTTACATATTTTTTTATATTTTTTATAATCATTACCTACCTATCCCAGTACACAAACTTGGCACCGTGTCTTGCTGCTTCTCGATCTATTTCAGCAAAAGTATCGGTGTTCAGTAGGTGCAAGACATGCCTCAAGTTTAGATTTATGTGATCTGATTGGGAATGCAAATCATCGCTTTTAGAATAGATATAGTCTGCTGCATGTAAGAAAAAAGATTCAAAGAATGCGACCGCCCGCGCCCCGCCCTGTGAAAAAACACAACTCCTCCACCTTATTTGTTGACTTTGTCTAGTCAACAGGCTATTAAGTATTTCTCAATTATTGGTAAGTTTGCTAAGCATTTGCTTCCTCTCCCTCTTTAGGCATCTCCCTTTATCTGGAAAACATCATTCAATACGTTAAGAAGTATAGATGCATCTACAAACAAATCGTAAAAGCAACTAAACGTTTATTTTTTAATTCTAGAATTTCTCTCTCAAAAAATAAGGCAAAACAAACATGGTCAATAATTAACAAGCTGAGAGGTAAAAAGGGCCAGTCCAAACAATTAGCACAAATAGATTCAAATGTTCTGAACGAATTTTACTGCTCAATCGCAAAAAAACTCACTTCTAATTTAAACTCTAAAATTGATCCCTTGTCATATCTATCGGAATTACATGTGGAGGAAACCTTTGTATTTGATTACACAATCTCAGAGGAGCTAAAAAAATGTATCAATGAAATAAAGATCAGATCATGTGGACTTGATGAAATGTCCATAAAAAAATTTCAAAACCTCAATGGAAATGTTCTTGGTTGTTTAGCACAAGCAATCATCAAATGTTTTGATTCAGGAAAGTTTCCTGGCATATTGAAAACGGCGGTAGTGATCCCATTGCACCAAACGGGATCGTACTCGGAGCCATCAAATTTTAGACCAATTTCACTTTTGCCCACACTATCGAAAATTTTTGAAAAAATTATTAAAAAAAGAATGCTAGAGTTTTTCAGTAGAAAGATTAGAAAGAACCTGTTGAGTGCTTGTCAATATGGCTTTCAGAGTTCGAAAGGTACGAATGATGCAATTTTCGCCTTCTTAGAAAACATTTAGTTTTATTTATTTATTTATTTATTACAGTCTCTAGGACACAAACGGAACAAGTCCAAAAATAGTATCCTGATATTACATTATACAAAAATACAATAAAAAATATATCAATAGGTAATTAACAAATTTAAAAGTAATATCTAGCTAAAATTAAAAATACAGTATATAACAATAGAACAAGAAGAGGTACCCTGCATCAAAACATCACAAACAATATCACATAGAAAATATCACATAGGTTTCAATACAATACCTAAAGCATTTTAAATTAAATAACAAAGAATTTGCAGCTGCCGTTTTCATTGACTTTTCAAAGGCATTTGATTGCGTTAATCATGAATTGCTCTTGCTACAAATATATGGATTTAGAGAAAAGTCTTTTTAAAGTTTTAAATCTTACTTGGACGAAAGATACCAAATGGTTAAAAATGGAGAGTCATCGTCGACTCTAATGCCGGTAGATACTGGTGTCCCACAGGGATCTGTACCTACTTATTGGGCCAATTCTTTTTTTAATATATCTAGAAGATCTATTGAGGTTAGTGATTAATGGTGCTTTTACGACTTTTGCCGATGACAATACAATAACTTGGAGTCATAAGGATTTGCAAGTTTTAAAACAAAAGGTTACTAACGATTTGGAAAAAATTAAATTATGGTGCGACTCCAACTTTCTGTGTTTCAATATTGATAAGACTAAGGTCTTACTTAAGTTTTAAATTCGATTTTGAGGACCTTCAATTGGCTCAACAGACAATATCACAAAGTGAAAATACAAAATTTTTAGGAATTCATATTGACAAACTAAAGTTTACAACTCATATCGAGAACTTGAACAAAAAAGTTCCAATGGGCAGTTACGCAGTTAGACTGACCTTCTGGGAATTGGGTACACAAATGGCTAAAACAAAGAATTACGCCTTAGTCGAATCGCATTTGCGCTATGGTATAGCTTTCTGGGGAAATTGTTGCCAAAATTTATTTTAATCCGTTTTTATAATGCAAAAGCGGTGTGTGAGATATCTATGTGGGGCCGGATTTAGGGTCCACTGTAAGCCCCTCCTCAAAAAAGAGAGGATTTTGACATTGTCTGGATTGTTCATATTGGAAACTGTGAGATTAATTTTCAAAAAATATAAAGATGTCACTCAAACTCATTTTTATCAAACCAGAAATCACAATGATATTCTTCTTCCTATTCCTAGTTCCAGCCTTACACAAAATTCAGTTATTTATAGAAGTGTAAAAATCTATAACAACTATAACAATAAGATTACAGTAATAATGAGGTAACATTACACTGCAAACTTGTAAGGTTATATTGAAGTTTACTGTAATGTTGACGCAGTATTGCGGCAAGTACTGAAACAACCTTAGGGTAATATTACAAATGCAAGGTTTATAAATGATAACCTTTCAGCAATATTACTGGAATATTAGATCAAAACTTCAGCAAAATTACGAGTGTAAGGTTACAAATTCAAATATACCTTAGGGTTACTTGCAATTTATTAGTAAGTTTACTGCAATATTGCATTTTTATTACAAATATATTGGGTTCGCAACTTTACTGCAATAAAAAAGTAATGTTGCAACTGTAAATACTATGTACCTACCTATACAGAGAGATTTGAGTTGCGGTGCATAAACTCTAACAGCTTGTTCTAAAAACAAGCTGTTAAAATTTGTGCCTGAAACCCATAATCATATATTAGGTAGATATTTTATTATGAATAAAAGTACAAGTTTTTGGAAAACAAAATAAAAAGGTTGGTAGGTATATTATGTATATCTATAATACTCACAATAAAAAAATATACTTAGGTGAAAAACAAAACGTAAAAAGTAATATCTCAAAGCAAAATAAATAAAAATTTTAAACAGAAAAAAAAAGCGAAATTTTAGATTGGTTGACACACACGACGAAGTAGGTACTGGCTGCTACCACAGCTGCTACTTATATTGTCACCTGAAACAAAAACAAAATCAGGGAGTAGTTCTGTATTTTTATTATAATAATTATTCCCCGTCGTAGCCACTTTCTTTCTGGATATTACCTACCAAACGGTTTACGATATTTTTGATCCTAACCAAAATATTATCGTAAAATCATAATAAGTAATATAATAATAATACGGGATTTGTAGGTATGAAAAAAAAGAGGTTACGGTTTACAAAAAAGGGGCCCCATTCCGCAGTATTTTTGTAAAAAGTATTTATTGACTATGCAAACCTTACTCACCTTATTTGAATCCTCGTCCATTGTAATCGCTGTATATTTATTTCATTTCCACAGGTTCTAAAATAAAAACTGAATAATAAAAATAACCAAAAAGCAAAGCACTACCTGAACCGATCCAATACATAATCCCAACACAAACACCAAAAATTTAGCCGAGATTGGCTTTATCACAGACACAACATTCAACAAGCAGACACAGCACTCAACTCAAACGACAAACAGCGACTTGATGGCGTCGATTTGCTTTCGGTTTAGTTCGTATCCCCGATGTCGTTCCGATCGTTATTAATGGCGGCAAAGCTTTCGATTTTCCAATATATTATTTCTGCTATATTGCAGCAAGTTTACATTCAATATTAAATTATAACATTGCAAAATAATATCAACACAACTTTAAGGCATCTTTGCGATGTAACCTAACCTACAAGTTATATTTCCAATTTTGCAGCAAGTTTACATTTGGTAGTTATTATAACATTGCAAAAATTATACCAGTTCAATTTAAATGCATATTTACAATGTTAATTTGCGTACAAGTTATAATTTCTAATATGCGTTAAAATTTCAAGGATATTCCATTTTGTAATTTATTAACGTAATGTTGTGTCAAAAATAATTCAATATTACATTGTAATGTTGCGAAACTAAGATCAGAGCATATCAGAGTAATATTGCATTAGGCTTTCGTAACATTGGATGTTCAGTGGGGAGCTACCAACAGAATTTAAATCTGTTGATAATATTGTTCTTTGAGTCTGATTTGCGTTTTAAATTTTATTTATTTCTATTTATTTTGAGTTTTATTTAATTTTTTATTTTTTATTTTAAATTCTTTCTGTATGTAACAACTGTAAACGTCTTTAGGTATTTTAATCAAGAACTAAGTGTTAATCAATGTGTATAGTTTCAATTGCAATGTATTTTTCTTTTTTTAACCTTATCATGCCAAACGATGTTCATATTTTGTGTTTGTTGTCCCCTTCAAGATGTTTTGGATGGTAGTTTTGTTGTTTTTCGATTTTATCTGTATAACTCTATATACCTCGTTTATGTTATGCTATTTTTATTTTGAAACTTTAGGTTTAGGAATTACTGGCTTTGTCAATGAATTTATTTTTTTACCACAATAAAGCATATGTTGATTTGATTTGATTGATATCTTTATCTTCTGTGCTGCCGACTTTATATATTTATGTATAACCCACACTTCGGCTTACAATAAAGGCTTCCTAGCTTCTATTGTAGCACAGTGTTGGTTTCTTCACAACTCCCGATCCTAAACCAAGTTCAAAGATAGATAAAACTTATTCACTCATTGGCGGGGAACAAATAAGCAGTATTATTGAACTTGAAGAGACGTCCTGGCAGATAATGATACCAATTTGGGCGGCTACTTGCTAGTTGAGTAATAGTCCAACCAGCAATTTTAGTTACCGCTACGTATCCTCGACTACAAAGGGAACTTTTAAGGTGGTGCTACTTGTATCGGGAAACGTTTAGGCACCGTTTCTTCACCACGTTGTTACCAAAATGGGGAATGATTTTGCAGTAACCAGTAACGTTTACGTGCCTGCATCGTCCTCGGAACTGTAAATTTATGTCCCGAGACCGTTTCGGGAACGTTGCGAAACCGTAAATGTGTGGTAATACCAACCAAACTG